TAGCCCCAGGTGCTCCTGACTTACCTGATAGGACCCATAGGTGAACTCTTCCCACCCAAGATCTATGACCAGGTCAATCCAGCTGTTTGGGCTGACAGAACCCCAGTAGATCTGATCTATTGGATGAGCTGCTGACAGAATCTGGCTGGAAATTATATACAGATGGGAGCAGATTCATGGGGGATGGCAATGACAAACCGTGTATGTGGTAGTCGCCATAGACAAGGTAATAGGAGCTCATGTCCTTGCTGTAGGAACCTCAGCACAAAAGGCTGAACTGATAGCCTCACCAGAGCCTTAGATTTATCCCAGAGAAAGAATGTTAACATATACACTGACTTCATGGTAGTCCATGCCCACGGCCTTATATAAAAAGAGGGCTCTTAACTTTGGGGACTAAGGACATCAAACATGCAAAAGAGATTTAAAAATTGCTAGAGGCAGTGAATCTACCAAATCAGATTGCCATAATGCATTACCCAGGACACCGGGACAGTTCCAAAACAAGCCAGGGAAACCAAACTGCCGATAAAACAGTAAATCAAGCCATCCAAGACTGCCACTTCTTGGGACTTTAATTCCCCACTTGGACTTGTCAGAATTCAAACCCCATTACACAGAACAAGATGAGGAATGGGCCAGGGAATAGGGATTCTCTTAACACTGACCCTAATTCTATATGGAAGATCAACACCTATGGTATGACCTTCCTCCCTGAAGATCCCATCCTCAAACACCTACATGAAGGGACCTGCTGTGGAAGGGATGTTTTAATGGACCTCATTAGACATCATTTGAAGGGCCCTCATTTACAAAGGGCATTCAGAAGATTATCCAAGCCTGTCAGATATGCACCCAAAACAATTCTAAGACAGAACGTGCCCCAACAGGAAAGGGAGTACAATATATAGAGTATACCCATCAGAGGACTGGCAGTTTGAATTCACACAGAAACTTTAAATTTTTTTGTTTTTGTAGACACCTTTTGTGGATGAATAGAGGCATACCCACTAGGACTGAGAAGGTAACTGAGGTAATAACACTTTTACTAAAAAAAAAAAAAAAAAATAGTCCTTAGGTTTGGACTTCCTTACAGTGTTCAGAGAGACAATGGACTGCTGTTCAGAAATCTCCCAGGAGATAGGACAGGCACCAGATTCAATGGTAACTACATGCATCTTGGAGACCCCCAATCTACAGGGAAGATTAAGAAAACAAAGCACACAATAAAGAAGACCCTGGCAAAAATATGCCAGGAAACACATTTTAAATGGGACCAGCCACTCCCTATTGCTTTGCTCTGGATTAGGATAGTGCCTAGAAGCAGACTTAAATGAAGCCCTTTGAAATGGGAGGCCCTTCCAAGTTTCTGCTTTAAGAACACCCCCTTTAGATTTAGAACATATATAAAAAATCAAACAATATGTACCACCTTTAGGCCAAACACTAACGACTCTGCACAAGTTTGCTCATTGCACATCTACTTGTCTGATGTACCCTTATACACCTGTTTCAGCCAGGAGACCAAGTGTTTTTGTTTTTTAATATATTTTTATTGATTTCAGAGAGGGAGAGGGAGAGATAGAAACATCAATGATGAGAATTGATCAGCTGCCTCCTGCATGGCACCTACTGGGGATCAAGCCCATAACCCGGCATGTGCCCTGACTGGGAATCCAACCAGCGACTTCTTGGTTCATGGGTCGATGCTCAACCACTGAGCCACACGGGTTGGCAGATCAAATCTTACTAAAGACCTGGAAGTCTTACTAAATAGCTGAACAGCAGTTAGCCAAGTAATGGACTGGTCCCTATGATGGATGACCTGCTGACAACACACTCTTCCCTAAAGCTCACAGGAAATCAAGCCTTGGATACACCACACATGGATCAAGTGGGCACCACCTGAGGAGGACTCGGATCTGATTGCTGCTGTTGATACTGCAAGGGGAAACTGTACCTGCGCTCCTGGAGATTTAAAACTCCTTTCAGAAAAGGACAGCACTCCCAAGCTAAGTGACAATGTTACTTGCATTTTATTATTATTTTTTACAATTGCTATACTTTATGCCCATGCTTGGATTGATAAACCTTTGTCAGCATCCCCCAAATAGTGGCTTCTTCCGCAAACTTACCCTGCTGTTGGGTAAGTTTAGTCTCTTGTTTCTAATTTTGTTATAATTTCCCCTGCACTGCTGGGCATACTCCTCACTAAATACTTCATTCGTTGTCTAAACAATAGGTCTCATTTTGGAAGCCCATCAGCAACACCGCCCCTTGAAAGATGAAGCAGTCTACCAGCTTCGCTTGTTCAGCAGTGCCATCCTCCAGATGCTGCATATGTCGCCTTCCATAGACAGCAATTCTCCTCCCCCTTGTAAAGGCTTCTCTCTATTCTTGACCCCCTTCTTCCTTTAGTGGATAGCAAGAATCTCTGGAACCAGGCATGGGTAAGACTACATCCTTTGACAGCAGGAAGAAACTACAGAAGATAAGCCTTTATCTATTTACCCTTGTAAGAATATACGGGTCCAGAGTTATGAAGGGGAGAATTGTTATCATAGTCAGGGAGCACAGGGGAGTCTCTCCCATTGGCCAAGATGGATGGCACAGGGAGAGGTTCTTACACTGAGCATGCCAAAAGCTAAAAAGATGAATGGATAGGGCCCAATCACACCAAAAGCTAAAAACGTAACTGGACAGAAAAAAAGCCCTCCCCTCCCTATTCCTATAAGAACTACAGGCTTGAGCAGGAGAGGGAGATGGTCTTTTAGAAGGGAGTCTACATTTTCCAGATCATGCCACCTGAATAAAACTCTTCCCTTTTGTACCAGCACCTATCTTACAAGTTTGGTTTTTGTTGCTGCAGGCAGCCTAATGTGTGTTTCATTGCCATATGTGTACTTTTTGTGTGTGTTGTACCATTCACCCAGTACCAAAGTTGTGTCTTTATGGAAAATGCTACACTCCTCAATACTATATATTTCCAGCTACATAATCAATTAACGTGAGGTGTAAAAAGAACACAGCACTGTGGGACTTAAGCAAGACTTAGCTTTGCTAGTGTGTAGTTTGGTTACACATTTGACAAAGTTTGTATAAAAGAATGTATGGTAATTCCCAAAGTTTGTTTAAAGGAATATAATTCTTGATCTTATACTGTTTGGAGTGTAAGCAAAACTCATTATACAGAAAAGATGCCTTACATCACAGAGAGGCTGAAATCTAAAGTGCCCACAGAAAGGCTAAGCAAGGCTTGCAGTTTAAGGTGTAAGATGGTTGTCAGACATGAAGGCACCTTGGTCTACACATCACATACCAAAAGGCTGACCTCTGTTCTCTCAAGCACCTGATATTCTATGTCCCAACTGTTTAAAGATGGTCATTAAGGACTTTGCAATTCCCACTCATAAACTAATTTAAAACCCAAAGAGACAGTGTCTAAAAGAAAGAGTAAGCATGAAAATATATAAACATATTTAATAGAAATATTAAAATAATCATGATATTTCCTCATTGCTAAAATTATGAAAGAATATTCCTTTTCTAATCAAAGTAATAACTTTTTAATCATGCAAAAAAGTATTTTTGTAATTACATTTATAAGCGGAAACTATATTTCAAAACAAATATAGTTTTCAAAACTATATTTAAAAAAAGCCTAGACTTAAAGAGAAAGTGGGATTTATTTAAATACTATTACAGTTTCATTGTATGCTGTTGGCATACTTATATTCACAGTATATAAAGTAAAAAAAAATCAATCTTTTAAAGTCAGCTTTGAAATAGATGCATTTTCTTTAATACATTCACTAGTTAGTTCTGTTCTAAAACAGGAAGGGAGATAGATATATGACTCAACAAGTCAGCATCACATTTCAGTTAAATTAAATTGGAAGCCAATGTTCTGAGTAACCAAAGTACAAGTCAGTTCACCAGCTGAGAGTGAAAATTAGAATATAAATTGAAAAGCTCAAGAGAGACCTTCATAGAACATACTGTAACAAATATTAAAAACAGAATTCTCAAATTTATGATTTAAGAACACAATTTTTTTGTAGTCAATAAAATACATTCAGAGGCATAAAAAGCAAGTCATAACACCATCTAGAGTTATTAAGAAGAACTGTGGCCCTGACCAGTCTGGCTCAGTGGATAGAGCTTTGGCCTGCGGACTCAAAGGTCCCGGGTTCGATTCTGGTCAGGGGCATGTACCTTGGTTGCAGGCACATCCCCAGTGGGGGGTGTGCAGGAGGCGGCTGATTGATGTCTCTCTCATCGATGTTTCTAACTCTCTATCTCTCTCCCTTCCTCTCTGTAAAAAATCAATAAAATATATTAAAAAAAAAACTGTAAAATTCTAAGGCAGCACTTGTTTGTTGTTGTTGTTGTTTGGGTTTTCTTGTTATTGGATTTTTTATGGAAGCCACCAGCCTCCCACTCACAC